AAATAAATAAATAAATAAATAAACATATTATAAAATATACATATATATGTACGTATATATGTACATATATATGTACATGTACATGTACATATGTGTACACATATTTGTCTCCTTTTTTTACTAATTATTATTATTATTAATAAATAAATAAATAATTTATTTTTATTTATTTTGTCTCCTTATCCATCCCTTAGTAGAGACACCTAGCTGGCTAGCTAGCTAGCTGGCTAGCTAGCTAGCTAGCTATTCATTGTTGTTAGCTAGCCATGCCTCTGTTGCCCACTATAACTTCATGAGTCCCTGCATGACTGTATACTAGCTAGCTAGCTAGGAAGCTAGCCAGCTAGATAGCTAGCTAGCTTCCTAGGTAGCTAGCTAGCTGCCTAGCTAGCTAAGTGCTTCCCCTATAGATATGCCTCCTAGTTCTATGGCTAGCTAGCTAGCTATACAAGCAGCTACCTGACTACCTAGCTAGCTAGCTAGCTAGCTAGCTAGCTAGGTAGCTAAGAGACATCTGTATAGACAAAACAAATATTATATTCTCCTTGCCCTTAATAAAGAGAAAGGAGACAGTTGTCTCTTTGCATGCATGCATGCATGCGTGCGTGCAGACACCTAAAAGTGTCCCTTTTTGGGGCTTTTTTTTACATTAATGTAAATACAAAAGAAGAAATAAAAGTCTATTGCATGCATTCCTTCTTAATGTGTCTTTTGTCTCTTCTTTTGTCCCCTTCTTCTTACTCTTTCTTCCTTGCTCCTTGCTCCTTCCTCCTGCTGCAGCAGCAGCAGCAGCACCTGCTGCTGTTGCAGCTATGTCATAGGGACACCCTAATTATAATTATATGTCCCATCCCTACAAGTATATAACGAAACCCTAAACCCTAAACCCTAAACCCTAAACCCTAAACCCTAGACCCCCTAATATAAATAAATAATAAGAATAAAGTACTAATAAGTGCAGCATATAACCCCTTTTCTTGTTTGTCTCCCTTTTCCCTTTGCTATAATATATTTATTATATAAAAAGGAGATAATAAATAAAAGTAGTAGTTTATGATTTATCCCTATCTACATGGGTAATTTTAAGAGAATGTTGTTGTGTAATCTTGAATCCTTGTAATGCATGCAGGGCTTTTTCTGCATAATTTTTATTAATAAAATCAATAAATGCAACTCCTCTTCCTTTTATATATTTTATATTAATAAATCCTTTATATTCATTAAATAATACCTCTATACTATTCTTATTCATATCTGTAGGTATATCCTCAACAAATAATGTTGCTCCTCCCTCTATACCTGCTGGTAATGCCTCCTGTATACACATATATATACATATATATATATACATATATATATATATATATACATATATATACCTACATATATATATACATATATATACATATATATACATATATGCATATATACATATATACATATATACATATATACATATATACATATATACATATATACATATATACATATATATGCATATATACATATATACATATATACATATATACACACATACATATATACGTATATACATATACATATACATATACATATACATATACATATACATATACATATACATATACATATACATATATACTTTTGTATACGTATACATATACGTATACGTATTTATATGTATATTTTATGTTTATTTGTGCTTATTTGTTGTCTATAAAAGGGAGACGTACGTATAAACATATATATACATATATATACATGTATATGTTTATATATACATGTATATATATACGTATAAATACATATACAAAAGGAGACACATGTACATATATATATACATACACGTATACATATACATACATATACACACACAAAGAAGGAGACGCATGTATACATATATACATATATACATATATATACATATATATACTATACATATACATATATAAATATATAAAAATATAAATGAGTATAATGAGTAATAAGTATATGTATATATATCCCTGTGGTGCTGCTTTTGCTGCATTAGCTGCTGCAGTTGCTGCTGCAGTTGCTGCTGCATTAGCTGCTGCAGTTGCTGCTGCATTTGCTGCTTACCTTAGTAATAGTTGGTTGTACTCTTGGTGTATTAGGCTTTCTTATCTTATATTGATTAATATATTGTAAATAAGCATCACTCTTATTATATGCATACTGTATACGCAAACATTTACCCAAAAATATTTTTCCTTGTAATCCTTTTAGGGCAGAAGAAGAAGAATTTATATCATTAAATACAACAAAACATATTCCTCTTTTTTTTTTATTTATATTTATATCTAATATTATACCATAACTTATACATAATTCATATATACATGCACGTAAATCTTTCTTGTTTATTTTATCATCTATATTACTTATATATAATGTTGTATTAGGTACTATATCTACTGTATTTCTTGTTGGGGCCCCTCTTGTTGTTCTTGTTGTTGTTGTTGGGGGGGGAGGAGGAGGAGGGGGGGCCCCTGTTGTTCCTCCTCCTGTTTGTGTACTTGATGGGGCCCCAGGACGAGGGGGGGCCCCTGCTGAGGAAGAAGAAGTACTATTTTGTTGTGTTGCCATGACGAGGGGCAGGAGGAGGACGGGAAGAAAAAGGAAGCAGAAAAAGGGGAAAATATATGTATTTTATGATTATATATACATATATTTATTAATAATATCTAAATATATACAAATATACAAATATATATGTATTTATTCATGTATTTAATGCACATATATATATATAAGGAAAAAAAGAGGAAAAAAAAGATGTACAATAGGCAGCAGCAGCAAGAAATGCTGCCCTTATTTGCCTCTCTTTCTTGTCTATTCTTTTATTTATTTATAAAAAAGAATTAAAAAAAGAAAAATAAACAAATAAAACTCCTAAATTCATCCATTTATTCATAAATTCATCTTGCATGCATCAATATACATGCATGCAGCTCTTACCTCCTCGAGCAGCCCCGCCGCCCCTCTCGCGCTCGTCGCTGCTGCTGCTCTTGCTGCTCCTGCTGCTGCTGCTCTTCCTCCTGCTGCTGCTGCTGCTGCTGCTGCGTGTGCAGCAATCTGCTCTTGTTAAATAAACATTTTCTTTTAATTATAAATATAATAGTACCAATAAATAGAAAGTATTTATTATATAGCTTTATTCATTGCTGCCGCTGCTGCCGCTGCTGCCGCTGCTGCTGCTGCTGCTGCTGCTGCTGCTGCAGCATTGCTCTGTACAGTACATTAATTGATCCATTTGTATTTGTTTGTCCGTGTATTTCTTTTATTTTATTCTTCTTATAATAAATAAAGAATAATATTTATAATAAAAAGAAAAGAAATATATTTAATTATTTATTTCCTTATATTTATACTATTTCTTGTTAATAATTGTATACTATCTGTGCACGATTATGTATTTTATTCATTTATTTAGTTAAATTATTTATTATTTTTCTTTTTTTTATTTATTTTTATCTTATAAACAAACAAATACAATTAAATATTGTTTATTAAGTTGCTGCATGCAGCAACAAAAAGGAAGAAAAACTTCCCCGTGCATGCATGCACAAGAACAACAAAACATTAATATAATAAAAAATAAATAATAAATAATAAATAATACTAAATAATAATTAATAATTAATAATAAATAATAAATAAATAATAATAATAAAGAGAAGAAATAAATAAACTACTTATTTTCCCCTTTCCTCCTCTCCACTAGGACTGGTTATATATTCCTCTTACTTCTCTTGTTGCATCATTTGCTGCTGCTGCTGCTGCTGCTGGCGATGCTCGTGCTGCTGCTGCTGCTTATTTATATAATTATATTCTTATCCTGTATACTTCTTGCTGCAGCAGCTGCTGCAGCTGCTGCTGCTGTCATTAGAGGAGAACAGGAAAAATATTTATTTATTTAATTATGTTGAAGATAAGAAGAACAGCAGCAAATAATATATATTAAATATAGTTATTCTGTTGCTGCTGCTGTTGCTGCTGCTGCTGTTGCTGCTGCTGCTGCTGCTGCTGTTCGTAGTTTCCTGCTTTTTGCATGCATGCGCCTATTCAGCAGCAGCAGCAGCCGTCTGTTTATTTCTTTGTTTTTGCCGTCAATTTAATTAAACAAATAATTAAATATATAAACAATTATATATATTATACATATTATTTATTTATTATATATTATATATATAATATATAATATATAATATATATATGTATATATAAGAGTATAAATACAAATAAATTATAAAAAAAGAAGGAAGGAGAAAAGAGAAGAAAAAAAAAAAGAAATAAATTCTTAGTACTTTATGCCAAGTATTTATTTATAAAGAAAATATATAATTAATAATAATAATAATATTTATTATTATTATTATTAGTAATAATAATTACTATTATTTATTTAATTAATTAATTAATAATAATTATAATTAGTAATTATTATTAGCGCATGCAAGAAAAAAAGTTACACAAATTAACCAACATAAGAAACTAACACATTATTTACGCATGCATGCATGCATGCATGCATGCATAATCCCTCTGCATGCATGCATGCATGCATGCATATTCCCTCTGCATGCATGCATGCATATTCCCTCTGCATGCATGCATGCATGCACGCGTATTCCCTCTGCATGCATGCACGCATGCATATATGGTAAGAAAGGTCTTGTTGCATATATTTATATTCTTCCCCTTGTTCTTCTTTTCCTTTTTTTTCCTCCTTTCTTTCTTTATTAATAAATCTAATTCTTATTAATTAATTAATTAATAAATTAATTAATAAACAAATTAATTATTAACTTGTTCTTCTTCCTCTTCTCCTCCTTCCTCTTTTTTTTTTCTTTATTAATTTAGTTGTTATTATTAACTAATTAATTAAATTAATTAGTAAATTGTTCGTCCTCCTCTTCTTTTTCCTTCCTCCCTTTCCTAATTAATTTCCTAATAAATAAATAAATAAATAAATAAATAAATAAATAAATAAATAGGAATTAATTAGTAAAATGTTCCTCCTCTTCCTCTTCCTCCTTCCTTTCTTTTTTTATTAATTTAATAATATTAAGTAATTGTTTTTGCCAAGAAAAAAGAGAACGAGTAACAGGACCTAATCGTAGATTAAAATCCCCATATAATTCTTTATTGAATCCAGGTCCTTCTTCTTGCTGCTGCTGCTGCTGCTGCTCCTGCTGCTGCTGCTCCTGCTGCTGCTGTTTATGGGTATCTGCCTTATCTAGGGTTACTAGACATAGAGCTCTGCCGTCTGCTGCTCTCTTTTGTATATCTACTCGTAATCCTTTTAGTACTTGTGTTGCTTCTCCTATTACTGATTGAGGTAAATATCTATCTTCTGCTGCTGCTGCTGCTGCTGCTCCTGCTGCTTCTCCTATTGCTGCTGCTGCTGCATCTATTGCATTCAAATCCTTCTCTACTGCTGATCTATCAGGAGCACCTATTATACATAAACACAACAAAAGAAAACAAAGAAAAAACAAATAAATAAATTAAATAAACAAATATATTAATATATCCAGATACACACAAAAAAGGATTATTAATAACTATTACAGTTCATATATATCCCTTCTTTCTTACAACTACTACGACTCCTACTGCTGCTGCTGCTGCTGCTGCTGCTGCTGTGTATTGCTTACCTGTGTTATAAATATACGCCTTAATAGGTATAGCAAGATTAGAGAATTGTTTTTTAATATTTCCTATTTCTTCTCTTAATAAAAGAATTAAATCGCATGCTTTGCCGTATCCTCCTTGTGGCTGCGGTGGCTGTTCTTCTAATTGTTGCCACGGTGTACATACAGGTCCACCCATAGAATCCGGTACTCTATTTCCTCCTAATGGAACAGGTTGACTCTCTACAGAACTCATTATTATTAAGTAAATTAAAAAAAGGAAGGAAAAAATGAGAAAAAAGAAGGAAAAAAGAA